TGCTTGGTACATTTATGAACATTTATTACATACCTAAGACCTCAAAATTCTTATAACAGCAGCAATTCAAGAACTGCTGGATCCGGTCAACAGCCCATCTAGTCCCGCATCCTGTTCTCATAGTGGCCACAGAGAAACCTGCAAACATCTAAACCCAAGAGACCCCTCTGGGATTTCCAGAAACATGTATTCAGAAACATCACTGCCTCTGACTCCATAGCCCTCTCTTCCTCCACGAATCTGTCTCTTTTAAAGCCATTCAAGTTGGTGGCCATCCCTGCATCCTGTGGGAGGGAGTTCTATAGGCTGCCTGCATGAAGAAGTGCTTTCTCTTATACTGAATTTTGAATTCAGTTGCCCCAGTCATTTATATAGTTATTGCATCTATATCCCAACCTTTCTTCCAAAGAGCCCAAAGGTGACACACAGGGTTCTTCTCCCTCCCCATTTTATCCTCACAACAACCCTGTGAGGTAGACTAGGCCGACAGTGAGTGACTGGCCCAAGGCTTCATGGCCGAGTGGGGAATTCGAACCCTGCTCTCCCAGGCCCTAGTCCAACACTCTGCCCACTGCACCGCACTGTCTCCTAATTTAACCATTCCAAACCACTCCAACTCTGAAAAGATCCGCTACAGGCTGCAAGTGATCTCAACAGAAACCTGGGCAGATCTGTCGCTAGCCGTTTCTCGCAAATCAGGAACAGTTACGAGGTGGGGCAGAAACAGTTTGCATCAGTCGTCAGCTGGCAACTTGAGCCCGGCTAGTCACAAAGCTGGCCCTTTCGTACACAAACACACCGCAGCAAAGTTTTCCCCATCTGTCGCTCCCCCTTTTTAACAAGCGATTGTTTTAACAAGGGTAATAAGTTGCTGGGGCAGCACAAAAGTATCCCCTTAAATTCCCGAGAAATTGCGGATCTGTAATGCCCATTTTAAAGCAACTTGGAAAAGCTCCAGAATTCAGGTTTTGCAAAGAAGCCAAATGTCCATCACACAAAAACGACTAGGAAAAACTAGCCTCTCTCTTGGTGGGATGCACAACCCAACTATGGGAACTGCGGAGAGTCAGACAACAAAGGAATCGACCGTCCCTGGGGTGAAAGGCTGGAGTTCACTGAGAGGCGACCTGCCTTATACTCATCAACCGAGGGTTGATTTTTAACCTAAGAGGGGCTGGGGGTCAAATCTCTCTGGATGATGTTTTCTTTGATGAGGAAAGCGTTTTCTGCAACCTCAAGTGCACAGTCAATGGATGCGATGAGGCAAAGGCTCTCTGTACGTGCTCAGACATGCTCTGGCATGTCTTGTAACTGCACTTGTTTGGTGATGAAATTGGCTTCCAGGCTACCTTTGGTGGAGTCTAGAATGGGTCAAAGCTTTGACAGCAGGCCTTGGCATAGCTCAGTCATCCTGTCAAGAAAATGCATAACGAACCCAAAGAAAACTGTGATTGCAATTGCTGCACAGCACGGGGTTGGACTAGATGACCCCCCTGGTCCCCTTCTGACTCCGCAATTCTATGATTCTGTGAAAAGCAGGCCAGGAAAGAAAAAGGACTCCCAGGTGGTAATAGGGGCAACATGGAAGAAGTTTATAACATTATGCATGGCAGGGAAAAAAGTTTATCTCCCCCTCTCAGAACCCTCAAACTGGTGGGCAAAGGTGGGATATAAACGCAACGGATAATTAAAAATAAAAATGTTGCTGGACGGCAGCACTCATTATCCTCAAGCGGCTCAGCCAACGGTCAGCGAGGATGGGACATCTGGGGGTCCAAGGTTGAAGGGCAGCTGTCTCAGAGCATTGTCCTGAACAGGTTTACTCAGAAGCAAGCCTCTCTGTGGCCAATGGGGCTTATAGCTGTCATTGCAATCCTGCTTGCTCAGGAGTAAATCGCACTGAGCTCAAGGGAACCCCATCTTCGGGTATCAGTGGGGAAACAGACCAAACTAGCCCAGTTGGAACAGAAAAGCACAACTCCATCATGCTACAGGGTTGGTTTGTTTGTTAACGAGAAAAAATATTGAGGAGACCAGAGATTTAATGGGACGCAGGTTCAGATCCAGCACAGAACCATCCCATAAAGACCAACACTATAAAGCAGTGATTCCCCAACCTTTCTCGGCCACCAGCCCCTGGCTCCATAAACTCATTCCCAATGCCTCACACCCTACCCTTTTAAAAAAACACGATTCAGAATTGCAGTTTGCAAAACCCACAAAGGAAGACAACAACACCACAACATTCCGACGAGCAACGCTTAATTGCGCATTCATCCAAAATCCAATTTAAGCTGTGATGTTTAAATAAGCTTATGCCTTAAATAAGCAACAAAGCTTATGCCTGGGAGGGAATCCCAGGGGGGCGGGCTTCCAGCTCTACGATGAGTTTGATCCGCTGAGACCAGCTTTCGGGAGTCTGGTAGCCACTTAAACATTAAATCTCCAGCGCCTCCCTCCTGCCCCCTTTAAAGGAAAAGGTAAAGGGACCCCTGGCCATTAGGTCCAGTCGTAGCCGACTCTGGAGTTGCGGCACTCATCTCGCTTTACTGGCGGAGGGAGCCGGCGTACAGCTTCCGGGTCATGTGGCCAGCAGGACTAAGCTGCTTCTGGCAAAACCAGAGCAGCACACAGAAACACTGTTTACCTTCCCGCCAGAGCGGTACCTATTTATCTACTTGCACTAGTGCGCTTTCGAACTGCTAGGTTGGCAGGAGCAGGGACCGAGCAACGGGAGCTCACCCTGTCGCGGGGATTCGAACCGCCGACCTTCTGATCAGCAAGTCCTAGGCTCTGTGGTTTAACCCACAGCGCCACCTGCGTCCCTGCTGCCCTCTTTGCACCTCCCTAAGTCATCGTACCCGACCGGGGATGCACTGCCCACTTTGCAAACCACTGATGGAAAAGATGACAGAAGCTAACCCCACGCCAAGTCAGACCGAGAGCCGAGAGCTGAGACTTACCCTAATGCCAAGGCCAGATGGACGGGTGGGGAGTAACACAGGAAGCCTGTTCAGGTGGGATCCATCAGAGACCGACACCCAAAGAAGGGTCCCTTCATTCAGACTGCCACTTACCCAGGGTGCCTGTCAATTTTCAGTTGGCAAGGGGTGAACTCATCCGTCCCAGGGAATCGGGAATTTTTTTCCTCCTTCTTGTTAGCAAATTACATAATCACCTCCTTGAGGGCTGTCTCATCTTCTCCGGAGGCAGAACCCCATTAATTAACAGCACAGACTCACAGCATAGCCAAGACAAGGGGGAAAAAACTCAGTCATGCACAGGGTTGGTAGGGAGCCTGCCAAATCGGCCAGAATCGAGCCCGGATGCCGGAAGGGAGAGCACGCCATCCGAAGTACCGGCAAGACTCGGATGCACACAATCCTAAGGCCGTGTTCTGTTGCAAGGGGCAAGATCTAGAAGGAAAGCAGGAGATGCAAGGCATGGTTTCTCTGCTTCAGTTGCCCGTCTGTGAAATGGGCACGGCCGACTGGACCGGGGTCTCCTGAGGCTGGCTGTTGTGCAGGTGCTCTTTGTAAATGAATATAAGGATGCTTCCGGACAGCCTGTTTAACTGGACATTAATCCTGATTCATTTACAAGAGAGATTAGTTGGCCTTGGCTACGGAATGAGCATCATGAACGTAAGAAAAACCTCCATCCTGTTCCAGACCAGATGTTATGAGAGAGGGAAGGGAAACTGTTCTGGGCCACTTTCTCCAGGCCGCACCTGATCTTAGAAACTCCCATCATTGTTGCCTCTTCCTCGTCTTTCCTCTGAACTAGGACATCCCCAAGGCTGCGGCCACCGGGTTTGTATGTGGGGGTTTTGGGTCAAAGCAAGCGTAGCCCCCCATTCTCCTCCCTTTCCGAAAAGAGTCCGATCTTTTGGGGAAACGGATTTGCTGCGTGAGTCTTTCCAATCCACGATAACTGCACAACTTGCAGGTGCCAATATGCGATTGACTCCTGACTGGAAACATCGTCTGGAAGCCCCAATAAGTCATTTTAACTGAGGCTCAAAGCGCTTCCACACTGATCATGCCAACATTTTATCACAAACACAGGCTTTCATCATGCACACTATTTCCTGCCCAGTTTTAGGGTCATCCTCCTCACAGAGGTGAGGTCTGCAATTGTGGCAAACATTCACACAGCCTATCAAATGCTGTTGTGTTTCAAACCTGGTTTGAAAACAAGTAGCTTCCACATGAATCATGAGAACCAGCCCCTTAGGATCAGAATATTTTAAAAAATGGTTTTTAAAATGCCCAGGACTGTACCGCAGCGCTTCAGGGGCACAGACAAGCAGCCCAACCAGTGTAGAATAGAGCCTATGCCATCTTTCAGAATTACACAGAACTCCTTGTCAGAATCCGCATTCTTCCCAACATCTAATTCCATCCAACTGGGAAACTTGCAAATTCCTACATGCCTAGAATTTGGGTCATTTTTTAAAAGAAGAAGAAGGAAGCACTCTTATACACTTTGACTGTACCTATTAAAGAGATTCAGCGTTTTCTTCTTAGTTGTACTGAACCCACACATAAGAACAGCATATATTTTAATTTGTTTCTTTCATTTATATGACACCTTTTCCTCCAAGGAGCTCAAGATGTAGTTATTCCCCTCATCATTTAACCTCCAGAACAACCCTGTGAGGTAGGTTAGGCTGACAGACAGAGGGAGCGACTGGCCCCAGGTCACCTAGTGAGCTTCATCATGAGAGTCAGGATTCAAACCCTGGTCTCTCAGATCCCAGTCTGACATGCTTACCATTATGCCACATGTACTGACTGCGGTGCCTAACTGGGGTTTAATCCTCTGGAGACCTCCCGTACCAAAGAGGCAGTGTGGTGCAGTGGTTAGAGTGTTAGCCTGGGATCTGGGAGACCAGGGTTCAAATCTCGACTCAGCTGGTAAGCTCACCTGGCTGCTGTCTCTCTGCCTGACCTACTTCACAGGGTTCTTGTGAGGGGGGAACCATCAGGAGCTACCTATTAGGGATAGCTCAGCTGGCAGAGCATGAGATTCTGAATCTCAAGGTCATGGGTTCGAGTCCCATGTTGATTCCTGCATTACAGCGGGTTGGGCTGGATGATCTCTGGGGTCCCTCCCAAATCTATGATTCCAGGTCAGTGGTGAAGCTTCTCTGCCTGGTCAAACCTTCAATCTCTGGCGGCATCTCAGGCTAAAACTAAGACTCTGAAGACCTGGAGAACGCGTGTTGGCAGCCGGATCTGCCTCTCAGGGTTGTTGTGGGGGCTAAATGAGGACTAAGACCCGGCAGAGAGCAGGGTTCAAATCACCCCACCTGGCCAGGACGCTCCCTGGGTGCTCCCTTGGGCCACACGCCTGACCCATCTCGAGGGTTGTTGCTGCGAGGATGACACGGGGAGAGCCACGCGCGCCCCCGGGAGCTCCTTGGAGGAGAAAGCGCGCTATGAATGCGATGCACGAAATATGTAAGAGGCGACGAGGTTTGGCAAGGGGAGGTTTTGCAGGTGAGGGACCCCCGCCAGCCTCCGCTTCCAACCCCCGCCGCAACGACGCCGAAGTTTCCCCCCGGGCTCGGCTCGGGGAGCAGCGCTGCTCCCCCCGCGGCTCCCCTTCGCCCTCCCGGCTCCTTCTGCCGCCCACTGGGGACCCCCCTCACCTGCCAAGTCCGGAGCGCCGGTGGAAGTTGCAGGCATGCACGCATGCAGGGCGCCGCGTTGCAATTGCATTGCACTGCACTCCATGCAACGTCTGCACGCATGCACTGCCTTGCACGCCCGCAAAGGGGTCTCCCCGCGGTCCGAGGCGTCCCCTCCGGCGCGGATGCAGCATTGCAAAAATAGAAAAAATAACACCCGCCCCCCCGACGCAGCCCTACCTGGGGGGCAGCCTCCGCCTCCGCCGCTCCGCCTCCGCGGGGATCCCCGGGCTCCATCCTGCCGGCCGATCTCCGCGGGGGGGCAGGCAGGCTGCGCGGGGTCTGCGCGGAAGAGCCCCTGCCCGCCCGGCCGCTGCGCTCATTCCATGGCCGGGAGAAGAGAGCTTCAAACAAAACGCCCGGCGCAAGCCCGGCCCGCCAGGCCACGCTGGGAAACGTAGTTCGCGCACCCCGCGCGGGCGCGGAGCCCAAGGGCGAGGGGACTACGGATCCCGGCAGCCCCCGCGCCGGGGACGGAGGGGGAGAGGCCGGGTGGGCGAGGGAGGGAGCGGCAGGCGCCAAGCCTTGGCCGAGAGCCCGGGAGGCGCGGGCAGGAAGGGCCTCCCCGGAGGAGGAGGAGGGAGGGAACCCCAGGGGTCATCTAGTCCAACCCCCCCCAAATGCAATGCAGGAGTCAAAGCCAGGGCCGGATTTACGTAAAAGCTAAACAAGCTGTAGCTTGAGCCCCCCCCCCAAAAAAACTGGATGTACATTTCCAAAATATAAGATAAAAAAGCAAATAAAATAAAACCTACATCCAGCAACAGTGTTTTGTGTTGTGTTGTGTAGGCTCCTATGATGTAAGGAATGGGCCCCACCTGCTAGCCTGCTCCCTCAAATATCACTGGTTTACTATTATTATTTCATGTTATAGCAAGTTTCTGGAGACTAGATGATGAGTCTTTGTAAATTGTGCTTCTAAAGGAACTTTTCTTCTTGCCAAATGCCAATGTGTTTGCATTATTAAGTTTGTTATGAATAAAAAATCCTTTTAAGTTAGAGCTTAATAATTATTTCACTATTAACATACTCCTTAATTGTATTTCACTATTAATATACTTCTTCTTAATTGTATTTCAGTTCAACAATTAGCCTGCTCCCTAAAATATCACTGGTTTGCTCCTTTCTATATATAGAGTGCCTACATTCTGCATGGACTGATTGCAAGGCAACATGTGCAAATGGCTTTAGATACCTATCAGGTCCATAAATGACCATATAGCATATATTCAACACAAAAAACAGTGACAATTTGTTGTTGACAAAGGACAGCTGGACATTGAAAGGGCCCCATTACCTTCAGTAGCTTAGGGCCTCATCAAACCTCAATCCGGCCCTGGTCAATTGTAGAATCTGACAGGTGGCTTGTCCAAGCTCTTGTTTAAAAACCTCCAGTGAATCATGGGATCGTAGCACTGTAGAGTGGTGAGGGACTCCTAAGGGTCATCTAGTCCAACCCCACCCCCCGCAATGCAAGAATCACAGCCAAACAATACCAGACAGGTGGCAGTCTACTTAGAAATGAATCATAGAACTGTAGACTTGGAAGGGACACCCCTGGGTCATCTAGTTCAACCTGCTGCCATGATGCAGGAATCGCAACCAGCACATCCCTGAAAAGATGGCCATCCAAACTCTTTGTTTCAAAACTTCCGAGGAATCGCTGAAAAGTAAGAGTTGGAAGGGTCCCTCAAAGGGCATCTAGCTCAACCCCCTGCGATGCAGAAATGACAGAGGAAGCATCCAGGGTAGGTGGCTGTCCAGCCTCTGCTTAAAGAGGAAGGGGACTCCACCATTTTCTGAGGGAGTCCCTTCCACTGCTGTCGATGAGCTCAGAAACTTCTTCCTGATGTTTAGCCAGAATCTCCTTGTCGTTCCAATCCATGGGTTCGAGTCCTACCCTCCAGAGCAGGAGAAAGCAAGCTTGCTCCTTCCTCCATGTGACAGCCTTTGAGATATTGGAAGACGGCTCTCATATCTCCTCTCAGACGCCTCTTTCCCAGGCTAAATGTACCCAGGGCTCCTTCAACCGTTCCTCATCAGGCTTAGTTTCCAGACCCTGAGTCATCCTGGGTGACTGGAACGGTCCTTGGAGGTTTCTAAGCAGAGGCTAGACGGCCATCTGTCAGGGGTGCTTTAGCTCAGGCATGTCCAACAGGTAGATCGTGATCTACTGGTAGATCACTGGACGTCTGCGGTAGATCACTGGTAGATCATTGGCTCCCCTAAAAAAAGCTCAACATTTTTACATTTTTCCTCCACCCTGAAAAAACCCAACAACTTTGACCTGAACCCCAAAAAAGGGGGTAGATCACTGCCAGTTTTTAACTCTGTGAGTAGATCGCAGTCTCTTGGGAGTTGGCCACCCCTGCTTTAGCTGAGATTCCTGCACTGAAGCGGGTTGGACTAGATGACCCCCAGGGTTCCTTCCAGCTCTACAGTTCTATGAGTCTGTGATTCTATGCATGTACCCTTTGCCTTCCCTTCCAATTCTACTCCGATTTACACACAGGCGCTCTACCTGACCTACCTCACAGGGTTGTTGTTGTGATGGGGGGCTTATTGAGGACGGGGGAGGACCACGTCTGCCAACTTGTGCTCCTTGGAGGAGGAAAGGGGGGGTATCGATGCAATGCATCGAAGGCATGGATATTTGCCTTTGCTTTAGCTGAGATTCCTGCATTGCAGCGGGTTGGACTGGATGACCCTTGGGTAGCCCTTTTCCAGGATTCCCGCTTCTGCGCTGTGGCATTTCGAGCCAGGCGCTCCTCCAGCCTCCGGGTGGCGCTGCCGCGCGCCCTGAAGGCGGAGAACTCGGCCGGCGCCCGCGCGCATGCGTGCTGTGCGCGAAGAAGGACCGGCGAGAGAGAGAAGGACCTTCTCGCTTCGGGGACCAGTTGGCTGGGGAGGGGGCGCGCATGCGCAGTGGCTTCACCTAGCGGGCGCCGGCCATGGCTGAGTGGACTCCTGCCCAGGTGAGAGGGGTTAACCCTGCGCTGCCCGGGTGGGAGGAAGGGGAGGGGCCTTTAAAAGACACCCCCCGGCTGGTCACCATTTAAAAGGGGGGGGGAGGAGGACCCGCAAAAGATTTCCCCAGGTGTGTTTTTGGGGGGCCACACTGGAGCCCAGATTGGTTTGGGGGGCTGCCCCCTCACTGCATCCTTTTGGGGGGTCCACAGGTGCCAACTGGAATAAAATATTGGGGGTCCAAGCAAGCCCCGCCCTGCATCATCGATCTCACACACACACCCCATTTGAATGGCAATGGCCATCAACTTTTTTGAGGGGGGCTGGTCCCCTCAAATATTTTATTGGGGGGGAGAGAGCTAAGCCCCCTGGGAATTGGCTTCATGCAAGGCGGGGGGCTGGTTGGTGTTCTGAGGTGGGGAGGGGGGAAAGGGAGGCAAGGGACCACCTTCTCCCCCCTTCTTGGCTGATCATGTATTTTGGGGTGCAGGGGGGGCTGAGGTTTGAGAGAAAGGCGAGGTTTCAGCCTTTCGGCCCCAGGACTTACCTATTTTTATTCACTCTTTTGCACTGATCTCCCACCTTTCTCTCTTCCCTACACAAACACACAGAGCTCAAGGGGGCGGCCGTGGTTCTCCCCACTTATATCCCCACAACAGCCCTGTGAGGTAGGTCGGGCGGAGAGCGGCAGCGAATGGCTCCCAAGGTCACAGACAGCGAGCTGCACAGCCAAAGCAGGGGAGGATTTGAACCCAGGTCTTCCCTACCCTAGCCATTGCACCACACTGCCTCTCTCGTGATGGGCATATCCCCCCCTCCCCCCAAAAACAGAGTTTCTCCTCATGACAACACTGCGAGGCAGGTTAGGTGGAGAGGCGGTGACTGGCCCCCGAGGTCATGTCGGGTGAGCTACACAGCCAAAGTGCAGGGATTTGAACCCAGATCCTAGTCAGACACTCTCTCCACTACTCCACCACTGGCTCTCTCATCTCCCCAGAGGATATACAGCCCTGAATCTCGTCTGCTTGCTCATGTGAGAAACTTGATCCCTCTTTTGGCCAATGCTCAACTAATAAAATACCATAAAATTCATATATAGCCAGTCAGTAAAATATCCCCCTTAAAAATAATAATCCATAAACATAGAGAATATATAGAACATGGCTCAGGTATTCTGGCCAAACAGGACATTAACTTCAGAAGCAATATTATTATATTGCGGAGAAAAATTAACAATAATCTAAGATATACAAAAAGTTAAAATGACAATAGATTAAAGCTGGCTTCCACTTTCTTAATGCCGAGGGCTAAAGAAAATTGTTGTTAGCAGGCGCCCAAAAAGACTACAGCGAAGGTGCCTGCCTGGCGTCTAGAGGCAGGGAGTTCCAAAGATCAAGTTTTTGCAAATGCTGACAAAACGTTGCCATTGTGACACCAGTTCTCCGTGCCAAGCGGATGTCACAGTGATTCTGGCGCCATGGAAAGCCCCCCTCTGCCTCGTCTTGCCTCTGTGTCTCCATGGCCTGGTCTCCCCCTTCTTCCTGACACACTGTCTTTCCGCTTCCTTCTTCCTTTTCCCTCCCTCTCGCCTCTCTTTCTCCAGCTGCCCCCCACTCCTTCGCAAGCACCTTGCTCTGGTCTGACCCCCTTCTTGCCCGCAGGCTTGGGAATGGGAGGTGGAGCCGCAACATCTGGCCTCCTTCCAGCCGCCAGCCCTCTTTGACCAAGCCGCCGAGAGGGAGATCTACCCGACGGCCGAGATCTCGCTCTGGACCGTCGTGGCTGCCATCCAAGCCGTGGAGAGGAAGGTGGACTCCTATGCCACGCGGCTCCTCAACCTGGAAGGCCGGACGGCCACAGCCGAGAAGAAGATCTTTGAGTGCGAGAAGACCGAGCTGGAGTTCAGCCACCACGTGGCCGCCCTGGGGACCCTCATCCAGGAGTACGGCCTGCTCCAGAGGAGGCTGGAGAACATGGAGAACCTGCTCAAGAACCGAAACTTCTGGATCCTGAGGCTCCCCTTGGGACCGAAGGGAGAAATCCCCAAGGTAAGAAAGAAATATGAAAGAAATGAGCTTACCTGGTAGGTTCAGAAAAGGGCCACCAAGGGGATAGTACTGTTTTGGGGGGACGGGGGGCAGGTGTGGAGGACTCCCTGGCCCTGAATGGGGTAACGTGCCTCTGAAGGAGCAGGTGCGCAGCCTGGGAGTCATTCTGGACTCACATATGTCCATGGAGGCGCAGGTCAATTTTGTGTCCAGGGCAGCTGTCTGCCAGCTCCATCTGGTATACAGGATGAGACCCTACCTGCCCGCAGACTGTCTCACCAGAGTGCCACATGCTCTAGTTATCTCCCGCTTGGACTTCTGCCATTCGCTCTACTTGGGGCTACCTTTGAAGGTGACCCAGAAACTACAACTAATCCAGAATGTGGCAGCTAGACTGGTGACTGGGAGCGGCCGCTGAGACCATATAACATTGGTCCTGAAAGACTTTCATTGGCTCCCTGTACGTTTCCAAGCACAATTCAAAGTGTTGGTGCTGACCTTGAAAGCCCTAAATGGCCTCGGCCCAGTAGACCTGAAGGAGCGTCTCCACCCCCATCCTTCAGCCCCCCAGACACTGAGGTCCAGCTCCAAGGGCCTTCTGGTGGTTTCCTCCCTGCGAGACGTGAGGTTACAGGGAACCAGGCAGAGGACCTTCTTAGTAGTGGTGCCTGCCCGTGGAAAGCCCTCCCATCACAATGTCAAGGAAATAAACAACTATCTGATTTGTAGAAGACATCTGAAGGCAGCCCTGCTTCGGGAAGTTTTTAATGTTTGATTTTGTCACTTTTTTATTATGAATATTCCGAGTAGTATCCTTGCTGCTGTTGTTGCATACATAAAAATGTTTGGTCCTTCTTTGCCACCCCTTGGCTGACAATACCCAAAAGGAAAGCCTCTGGTTTCTTAGTGAAAGTATATTTAAATACCTTTTTCAATTCATTATAAATCATTTCCCAGAACGCCTTCACTTTAGGGCAGGTCCACCAGAGGTGAAAGAACGTTCCTTCACACTCTTTACATTTCCAGCACTTGTTATCAGACAGGTGGTAAATTTTATGGAGTTTGACTGGGGTCATATACCATCTATAAATCATTTTCATTACATTTTCTTTCAAGGCATTACATGCAGTAAATTTCAATCCATTACTCCACAGCCTTTCCCAGTCCTCAAACATAATATTATGCCCAATATCCTGTGCCCACCTTATCATAGCCGATTTAACCATTTCATCTTGTGTATTCCATTCCAACAGCAAGTTATACATCCTTGAAAGTATCTTAATCTTTGGTTCTAACAATTCTGTTTTTTATTATGAATATTCTGTTGGGAGCCTCCCAGAGGGGCTGGGTAAACCCAGCCAGATGGGCGGGGTATAAATAATAAATTGTTGTCATTATTATAGAACAACACACCTATGAATCAAAGAATCCTAGAGAGGTAGAGTTGTAAGGGACCACAAGGGTCATCTAGTACAATGCAGGAATCTTTGGTCCCTGGCATGTGTGCCATTGCCCCAGGAGCTCAGGTTTCCACTCGCAAAAGACTTGCCAGCCAAGAGAGCCACTCTCAACCCCACCATGCCCCAAACAGCAGGCCCAGGAGAGGGAGGGAGGCCCGTCCAGGAATTTTCATTCATTAAAAGTGCATCACAGACAATAATCACTTTAACCACTAGATTAACCAACAAAAGCCTTAGTTTTTGAAGTGCCACATGGGTATTATTTGTCCGCTGGATAGCTCTCCCTCCGGTTGGCGTTGGACTGGAAGAGGCAGCTAAAAATATTTAAACAGCGACCAGTTATTGTAGCCTGCCTTCGCAGAATGAGTGTGGTGAACAGAACAGGTCTAGGAACCTGATGGACCCCTTTGGGCTGGCTGTGTGCTGATGGACCTATACATGGAGGTTCTATGTTGCTCTGTTTTCTACGTCATAAAGTTTATATACCGCTTGATGGTTAAAAACAAACAAACAAGCCACCCTCAAAGCAGTTTACAAAAGAGGGAAAACAATAAAACTATCACTAAGAAAAATTAATGACAACAATTTACAGCGTTTGACGAGTTGAAATAGCAACAGACTAAAAACAGGTCGAGACTCCCATCCGGGTAGGATGGTCTAAACAGAAATGGTTTAGAGGCACCGAAAAACATACAGCAAAGGCGCCAGCCTGATGTCCGTGTTGCTATTACAGTGGTACCTTGGGTTACATACACTTCAGGTTACATACGCTTCAGGTTACAGACTCCACTAACCCAGAAATAGTGCTTCAGGATGAGAACAGAAATTGTGCTCCGGCGGCACGGCAGCAGCAGGAGGTCCCATTAGCTAAAGTGGTGCTTCAGGTTAAGAACTGTTTCAGGTTAAGTACGGACCTCCGGAATGAATTAAGTACTTAACCCGAGGTACCACTGTACTATTATTATTGCTATTGTTAGAATTTATTACCCGCCCTTCGCCCCAAGATCCCAGGACAGGTCACAACCATTTAAAAGCATCTTTAATATTGGAACACAATATTAAACAGAGTGTAAGAAGAATTGCAAAAGCAAGGTGGGTCCTGAAAACATACACCCGAAGGGTCAGAGGCTAGGGTCAAGGGGTGCGTCTCAAGCATCCACCAAAAGCTGTACTATGAAGGCACCAGATGCACCTCTGGGGAGGGAGTTTCGCAACTTGGGGGCTGCTACAGAGAAGGCCCTCTCTGTTCTCCTGGGCCACCCCAAAGAGAGCACACACACACACACATACCCTGCAGATTTGGCACCCAAGAGGGTCTGTAGGGAAGGAGGCGATCTTTCAGGTATTCCAGGTGTTCTGCCTTCCCTGCTGGGAGCAGCACTGCCTCTGCATACCAGTATCTGGAAACCACAGGAGGGGGGAGGGCTTTCCTGCACGGATCCTGCTTATGGACTACCTGTGTGAGAATAGGATGCTGGAGTGTATGGACCCGTGGCCTCATCCAGCAGGGCTCTTTTCATCTTCTTACGATGGCAGCCGTGATGGAGGCCTTGGTCAGCATTTCTGAGTCACGGGCGGCTCTGATTTTAGGTTCCCGTGACCTTTGATGACGACGCAGCAAGCTTCTCCCCCCAGGAGTGGGCCAGTTTGGAAGACTGGCAGAAGGAACTCTACCGGAATATCACCAAGGGGACATACGAACCGCTGGTCTCCCTGGGTAAGTGGCTGGCATTTCTTTCTCTTTCCTTTTCTTTGTAAAGTTCTTTATTTCGTTTCATTTCCTAACATTCACAAAACAGAGAGAACAAGTCGTGGCAATGGACGGATATTAAGAGATGAAAAATAAAGCCCCGTTTAGGGAAGTTTTTTATGTTTGATGTTTTATCGTGTTTTTACTCTTCTGCTGGGAGCAACCCAGGGTGGCTGGGGCATAAATAATAAAATTATTATTTTTATTATTAACTACATTATTATATAACTATATAACTATTGTTATTATTATTATTATTAACTACATTAACTACTATTATTATTATTAACTACATTATTATTATTAACTACATTACATTATTATTAACTGCCTATTATTAAAATAGGCACGTAGCATGCGCAGAGCTTTGCATGGGTTAAAATAACCCAAGTCCAAGTAAAGTCTATCAGTGTTATCAGAGCATCAAATATAGTTCCAGATTTGCTAGGTTCAGATAGTTCCAGATTTCAAGACAACGGGGGTTGTCTTGAAAATGATGGTTCTGCTGCATGTGTCATAAAAGAACGCCAAATCCAACGAAAAGTCCCTGGAGGTTCTAGTCCTTGTCAAAATCTCAAATTCTCCATGATGGCTCCATTGCAGAGTGAGTGTTGCCAAACGCCTAATGTTAGGATTTTGGGTTGTTCTCCACTGAATTGCAATTACTGTTTGTGCTGCCCAGATCATATGCAAGACCAGTTCTTTGGACAAGAGGCTGGCATTCCTTGGAAAAAGGAGTGGAGCTGCCGGGTTTGTTGTCCGTCAGATTTCCCCTCAGTGACAGTGACTTTCAGCACCTGCTTTCTGATCTGCTTCCCCAAACAGACTCTGCCATTTCCAAAGCTGACATCCTCCCACCAATGGGACAAGCGGAGCCTTCCCGTGCCGCGGATCACGAATTTGTGGGGGGCAAGGGCTTCCCTGCAGAGCCCAGAGCAGGTGAGTCGAATTTGGAAGGTGGGTAATAAAGACTTGCCATCGTGGTTAAAGCATCTGTCCTGCCCTGTCACTTGCGGACAGCACAGAAAGGTGGGGGGGGGGGACAAACTGAACGGGAATGAAATATGCAAACAGTGAGTGTAGGGCTAAAGTGCTGCTGGGCCACATGCAGGTCTGCTGGGGCTCACACCTGCCCAGAAGGTACATTCCCCAAAGTTAAATCCTTGGAGCCTAATCCCAGAAGTGAGAGGCCTGGCGGACACATTCAGGGGTGAGGAAAGGAGGTGCACATCTTCTGTGGCCGGGTGCCGAAATCCGATCTGGGCCTTCAAAGGAAAACAAAGCTCATGCATAAATCTAGCCAGCATCTCGGTCAGTTTTCCGCCAGCGTTGCTGCTTTTCTCTGAAACTTGCAAGTGTTCTGCATCCGTTGCAATGCGCCTGTTGCTCTCGTTGCCAGAAGCGGATCCCTTGCCTTCCAAGGAGGACCTCTTGACCTGGATTAAGCAGGAAGAGCTTCCCGGGAGAGGGAAATGGGACCTGGAGCGAGAGATCCCACCAGTTCTCAGCTATGGTGAGTGTGCCTGGCATTAGATATGATTCCTGCATTGCCCTTGGGGTGACTTCTGTGATTCTGTGCCCTGAAAGGCAGGGATCTGGTTTCCAGGTTATCCTGTTGTTTCATTTTTTTAAAAAAATATCCCTCCTTGTTTACGTAATATCTAAATTATGTCTGCGCCTCTTTCCATATTAACTGGATTGTAGCCGCTTTCTTAATCAGAGGAATTCCGGTGCTGCTTTAGATCAGCTGTTGCCGACCAACTTGACGCCCTCCGGACGTTTTGGCTGCAACTTCCAGCGGCTCAGCCTTCCCCTCCCCTCTTCCTCTGGGCTGGGAGGAAGACTTTGCACTGAGTTTCACTTCCGCGCTGCTTTGTCGTGTTGTCAAAGGGGCTTAAAACAAACTGTGGTTAGTTTCGAAAGCCAGGGTGACATCCCCAGGGCTTGACCTTGGCTTGTTTTGAAACGGACCAGGGTTTAACCCCGCCTGCTTCCCAGGTCACAGCAGGCCAAATATTCTGAAACCGAAAGGACAAGCTGGCAAAGTCTTTCTTCCCAGTCACGTGGGGAAAAGGAGGAGGGAGGGGAACTGTGCCAGCCCAAGGCTTTGCTCAGGCACATTCCAGCTCCTGCTTGCCGTGCTGTGCGAAGGCTTAGCAGGAAATGCAAACGGACCGGGCTTCCGGGCTCTCGATTCTCCAGGCAGACAAGGATATTGTGAATCTTCTTCAATTAACCACACCAATCGTGGCATTTAAGGAAACATCACGGGGCCACAGCGGCAGCCTCTGGGGCACCCAGAAAAGTGGAGTCCACATGCCTGTGAATTTCACATGCTTCTATAGAGGCCGTCACTCGCCTTAGCTTAACATGCGCATAGAAATTAAGTCACATTCCCAGAGGAAAAGCAGGCCTGCGTTGTCAAATCTGGGTGCCCAGTTCAGCAGGAACAAGGTGCCCTAACTCTTACTGAGCCAGTTCAAGGCTGAGTTTTTCCTGCACAAACCTTCCTAACATAGATTCTCCACCCAATCAGATTCTTCACACAGTCTCCTTTTATGCACTCTCTTTTTGCATCTCTTCACACGCAGGCTGCCTAGAATTCCCACCACAGTGTAATAATAATAATAACAATAATTTTATTATTTGTATACCGCCCATCTGACTCGGTTTCCCCAGCCACTCTGGGCATCTCCCAACAGAATATTAAATACACGATAAAACATCAAACATCACAAACTTCCTTAAAGAGGTCTTTTGCTATCACATGCTGGCGAGATCATTTTAACTGGAGATGCTGCAGAGACCTTTTTCATGAAAACCTGGGCATAACCACTCAGTTATAGCCCTCCCCCCCCAAAAAAAAACTATTATTGTTAAGCAGACGTGATGTTCACTAAAACCTCTTGAGCTCCCTCCAAAATATTTCTGATATTTAATAATAATAATAATAATAATAATAATAATAATAATAATTTATTTGTACCCCACCCATCTGGCTGGGTTTCCCCAGCCACTCTGGACGGCTCCCAATCCAGTGTTAAAAACAGTACAGCATTAAAAATTAAAAACTTCCCTGAACAGGGCTGCCTTCAGATGTCTTTTAAATAGAAGATAGCTGCTTATTTCCTTCACATCTGAAGGGAGGGTGTTCCACAGGGAGGGCGCCACCACCGAGAAGGCCCTCTGCCTGGTTCCTTGTAACCTCACTTCTCACAGGGAGGGAACCGCCAGAAGGCCCTCGGCGCTGGACCTCAGTGTCTGGGCTGAACGATGGGGGTGGAGACGCTCCTTCAGGTATACAGGACCGAGGCCATTTAGCGCATAGTCAGTCTCTGGAACTCTCTCCCGCAGGAGACATTGATAGCCACCAACTTGGAGGGCTTTAAAAAATGGATTAAACAGATTCGTGGAGGAGAAGAGGGCTCGCCAGGGCTACTTGCCACAATGACTGTGCTTAGCTTCTGTCGTCCTCCCCAGTTGCTGGAAACCTCAGGAGGGGAGATGGTTGGTTTTGTGTGCGAATCCTGCTTGCGGTTTTCCCTTTGGATGGGCACTGTGAGAACAGGATGCCGGAGTAGATGGGCCACTGGCCTGATCCTGCAGGCTCCCCTTTAGGTCCTTAATCCTTGCCTGTTCCCTTTTCTGCCTCCCCCAGATGACAGCGCTATGATCAAGCGCGAAGAGCGTAATCTGAGGGCGGCTCCCAAGCTCCCTCTGCCTGCCCAGGGGCTGCTGCTGCCCGGGATGGCCAGCGAAGACGTCTTCCAGGCCCCCAAGCCGGACGGAGGCTGTGAGAGGCAGGGCTGCCCTCAGGGGGAGAAACCGGCCCCTCCTGCACAGAGGCCCGAAGAGGAGCACCCCCCGAGGCCAGGGGGCTGCTGCGAAGGGCCGGAGGCGGCAGCCCCTCCGGACGCCAGCCCCAAGGGAGACCCCTTCCCCTGTGGCAAGTGCCGCGACGGCCTGGTCTACGAGCAGCGCTTCCCCTTGCCCCAGGGCGCCCACACGGGGGGTGAGGAGTACAGCGAAGGCGCGACGGCTGAGCCTGGCCCACAGCAGATCTTGGAGCCCGACGGTTCCTGCGCAGACTACAAAAGCGGCTTTGGGGACCAGGCCTTATCCCAGGTGGCAGACAGACTCCACACCTGTTCGCTGTGCCCCAAAAGCTTCCGTCTGAAGACCAGCCTGCTAATCCACCAGCGGACGCACACGGTGGGCAAGAGCGAGAGCGCCTTCGTCTGCGCCGAGTGCGGCTGCGGCTTCAGCCACCAGGGCCAGCTGACCCGGCACCAGGCGGTCCACGCCGATCGGCCGCACCAGTGCTCGGAGTGCCCCAAGGCCTTCAACCGCAAGTCCAGCCTGGCGGTGCACCTGAAGACACACCGCGAGCGGCCCCGACCCTTCCACTGCCCGCAGTGCGCCAAGACCTTCATCCGCAAGCAGCACCTCGACGACCACACCCGCACGCACACGGGCGAGAAGCCCTACCAGTGCCCCGAGTGCGAGAAGCGCTTTGCCGAGAAGTCCAAGCTGACCAACCACTACCGCATCCACACGGGCGAGCGCCCCTACCGCTGCGGGCAGTGCGACAAGCGCTTCGTCCGCGCCCACCACCTGGTCAAGCACCAGAGCAGCGTCCACCAGGCCGGCGCCAAGACGCACGCCTGCCGCGAGTGCGGCCAGACCTTCCCCCACGCCCAGGCCTTCATCAGCCACCAGGCCAGCCACGCCAATGGTGAGAGGCGCCACCGCTGCACCGAGTGCCTTAGGACCTTCGCCCGCCGGAAGTACCTGCTGGAGCACCAGCGCATGCACACGGGCGAGAACCCCTACGCCTGCCTCCACTGTGGGAAGCGCTTCCGCTACAAACAGTCGCTCAAGCAGCACCTGCGGCTGCACGGCGGCGAGCAGGCGCCCGCAACACCCATGCCTGGCCCCGAGCAGGCCCTGGCACCCGGCGGCAGCAGCAACAATGCCCCACTAGAGAAATCTCTCTTCCCCACCAGCCTTTCCAGCGGGACCTGAGGGCACGCTGCAAACAGACAGCGCCCCCAAATGGACAGGCGGACCGCAAAGCCAGAATCCCGTTTGCAACCTCGAACCTCCCTTTGGCATACGCTCCCGCTGCCAACCAGGGCTGAAGCTCCAAGTGGGTGAGCGACTGTCCGAGCGCTTTTGCACCCTGCTCACCACGTTTCGTATTCCAGAAATGCTTCGAGAGTGAGATGGAACAATCGAGAACGTTGGCCGGCGCTGGCGCTTTCTGGCAGTTGCCGGAACCGTCTCAGCGTTCAGTCTTGGGCAACAGGATGCCTGAGATGTGGTTGTGTGAATCGGTCCTGTCCAGTCGTCATTCGGTCTCTGTACTGTGGGTGGAGCGAGGATGCCAATCGTTGCTCTGCAGCCTCACAGCTTCCTCTGCCTGTGAACGTCCACAGAGAGAGGCAGGCAGGCATTGCAGGCTCCCAGCTCAGATCCACGTGCCCAGCAGCCTTGGAGAAGCTGCACACTCTCTCTCCGACCAGCCTGCTTGACAGGTTCGTCGTACAGATGCGCCGAAAGGGGAACGGTGCTGCGGAAAGGAGATTTGAAGAACAAGAAAAGGCAGGAAGGCGGACCAGAGAAGTTTGTGCATCAGGGCTGACCCATTCCAGTACCCCAAACTGAGGAGAAATATAGTGCGAGAGGAGCCTTCTGACTGGTGGGGGCATTAGAAGTAAGCCCAGGCAGCTCTGTGGGGCACGATGGACTGCAGCGGTTGTAGGGAAAGGGGGTGGTTCCACTGAGGCTGAGCAAAACAGCTGACATGTTTCTGATTTGCCTGCCTGCCAGAACGTGAAATCGGCTCTCCTGCAAATAGTTTTGCCTGGGCACCCAGAGACCAACATTAACCCGTCTCTTCCTACAAGCTTCCCTCTGAGGTGCAATACCTGGGATCTGCTCTGCCCCATAGCTTTCCCCACATCACAGTCTACACCCCCCACCCCACCCCATGCTCCTTGATCTCCCATTTTCCTGCCTAGATCACCCTGTGCGCCAAAAGTCTACAACCCCACTGGCTTTTTCTCTAGGTTTTTGGTGCGTTTCCTTCTTTTTAAAAAACAAAACAAAACACGGGCTTTTACACATCCTTTAAGTCTGCTCTGCTTCACCCCTCTGCCAATTTAGCAGGTTGCACGATTTCTGGAGCAGCCGCTGTTCGGAGTCTCTCTTTCGCTGCACGCGTTTGGTGACAAGGCAGCCTGAGCGTTCGTCGCAAGACAGAGCCCGGTGGGGATTTGCAGAAGGCAAAGAAGAAACCAAAGATGTAATGAAGGAGCCGTCTTAGAGAAGGACTGGGCTGAGGTGTCCAAGAGGCCCAAATGCCAGGGCAAGTCGAGACCACTGGGGCACCTTCCATCCTGAACTTGCCCAATCTTCTGCACAGACTGCAATATATATTTAAAAGAAGCACACGGCGCTTGGGGGGCCTGGCACTCCTGCTCAGCAGCCTCAGCTGCAAAAATTGCAATTTTAACTTTTAGCTTTTTTCAAAAAACAAAAACAAAAAAAGGGATATTAATAAAGATTTTGTATCGGTTCTTTGGATAATGGCTAAAGCTTGCGTGTTTCTTCTTTGAAAGGGGAAAGGCAACTGGAACCCTCCTTAAAACATACATTCCATGTAATATAAGTGGAAACACATATTTTGGAAACAGCATTGGAAAACACACTAAACCTCTGGAAACCCTTTAAAAACCAGCAGCACTTACTAGATTGCCGCCAAACTTCCTTGCTCAAACCCCAGCTCTGCACAGGCCTGCAAATTCAGTGCAAAGGCTGTGGGGTTGCTAGGTGCTGTTTATGCGCCATTTCCATACTCTTTCAGGGGGCCTTTTTGCCCCATTTTGTGCCACTTCCAGTTTCGTGGCAATGTGCACCATTGTGATCACACGTGACTCGGGACATGCGTAAGTGGGGAATTTGCTGCATTGCGAGACGGGCTTGTTTATTCATTGCCCGCCCTCCACCCTGATTTCACAGCATCAAAACACAATATCAAAAACAGTTTAAAATGGCTGACAACCATGAAAAGAGAAATAAGGTGGGTCTGAAACCAGACATCTCGCGTGTTGGAAGCCAGGGTGGAGGAGAGGGGCGTCTTCAGCATCCTCCGGAAGCTGTGCAAGGAAGGGGCCAGGCACACATCTTTTGGGAGGGAGCGCCACAGTTTAGGGGCTACCATAGGGAAGACCTTGTACCCTCTGGGCCTCTGCCACCGTGAGCCTCTGAGGAACTCCCAGGAGGACCCGCCTGCCGGTCTCAGCATCCAAGACGGTTCGTAGGAAGCATTTGGGGCATGAGTCGTATAGGGCTCTAAACCCCAGCATGTGCACCTTGAGTTGGGCCCAGAAATGAACCGGCAACCAGAGCCACTGTTTTAAAACAGGTTACGGGAGATCAAGATGGAACCCAAGCCAGTCATTTGGCTGCAGCCTTTGGGACAAAGTGTGGTTTCAAGTCTTCAAGGGCAGCCCCCCGTGGAGAGTGTTGCAACAGTCCAATCGGAAACATAGAGCATAGAGGACAGGATCCACTGCTTCCTTGTGTAAGAGGAAGAGGCGAAATGGGGCATCTCTTCTGTAGGCACCATCCCAGCCTATTCCAGACAGTGGCCAGGAGCAGACTTGGGCTAGGGCAGTGGTTTTCAGCCAGTGTGCTGCGGCACCCTGGGGTGCCTTGAATGATCGCTGGGGAGACATTTCCGTGATATGTAGCACATTTTTAAGGGGATGTTCTTGCCTTCCTTGAGGTCTCAGAGAGAAAGCAGGTGAAGCTTGCTTCTGAAAGGCTGGCGAAGAGTCCCAGCTTACAGTTGCATCAGATGAGGAATTTTTAAAATAGAGAGAGATCTCCTTCATGTATTTTACTTCCAAGACCACTTCCTTGCCAGTCTTCTTCAGTGCCTGCACTGCCTCATCATGTGTCACATCAGAGAGGTCACCACTGATGACGGAAAAGGATGGCATCTCCTACAAACAGGGCCTCCGTCTGATCTGCAGCCAGCCCCTTAAAAATCTTGGAAATCAGAATGGGCATTTTGTTTTCCTGGCTGCCTTTGATACTGATGCCAAGCCCTTCGATGTCCTGCTTGACGATCCGCACAGTGCGCTTGATGTTGGCAAGGGAGTCCTGGACAGGGGCTCCTGGCTCGCCACCATTCAGCTGCACGGGGCTGGGGGCAGCTGCAGCGGCTCGTCGGCACCCTTGCTGCTGGGGCTGATGCTGAATAAGTCGTCAGAAAGGGTGACGAGCACCCGCAGCCACTGCTTGCCCGGCACCCACAGCTCCAGCAAGCCGCTCTTGGGAGCTCTCTGGCCGGCTGCCATCTTCAGCACATTCCTCGGGTAGCCGCCACTGCTAACCCTGCCTGCCTGGAGTGGAGCTGGGACACGCAGCCGAGCCGCCTTGAATGATGGTCAGGGGTGCCATGGGCAACCCTGGCCTCTGTCCCTCTTTCCTTCCCTCCCTCCTCGGATGCCCTCTCGCATCTCTCCCTCCCAAAGACTTGCACGGCTGTTGGTTGCATCAGCCCTGGCTACAAGCTCCCCAAGTGAATGGTGTCTCTGGGACTGGCCAAGCGGTGCTGGGTGCTAGGAGCTGAGGCGCCTCAGAGTAAGCAAGCAAGTGGGCGAGGGAGCCCAGCCAGCCAGTCCGCCAGCCCTTGCTGTTGGGAATGGAGACAAGTTGGAGGCCGGGCAGGCAGGCAGGCGCTGTGCTGGCCTTCCTTGTGCTTGCTGTGTGCAAGGCCTGCCTGGGAGCTGAGTGCCCAGTGCCAAAGGGGAGCCTTACCGCCATGCAGGCCTGGCAGTACCTGCTGCTGCCGCCCAAGATGACTAAGGTGCTGATCTCATGTTCACCTTTGGCCAGTCTCCGTCAGGCCACTAAAGCTGGGGGCACCCTCTTCCCATGCCCCTGTGGGGCAGTGTGAGGAGGCACCTCTCTATGGGGCAGGGGGGCAGCTCAGAGACCAGGGGCGGCAGCTGCCCAGAGGACTCCCAAGGAGAGGGGAGAGGAGGCTGAGGAAACACTCCACAAGGGAGGGTGTTCGGAAAAGGGTGAGGGGCTGCCGGCTCAGAAGGCAAGGGGTGGCATAACTGGGCTCCTGAGCCCCACAGGGGTGCTACAGAAAGAATGCAGTTGGTCAAGGGAACCATGGACCCCAAAAGGTTGAAAACCTCTGGCTTATGGGATTGTGACGGCTCGGGTCACTGGGTTGGGCAGAGCAGGTGGAAGGCACCAGGCGCTTCAGTGACAAGGGGACCCAGAACTTGCCAAAGATCGTTTTGAGCTAAAAATTTGGGGTGC